CTATTGCAGACGGTTGGCCTGTGGGACCTCTGTCACCAGCCACAGCCTACCTTCGAACTCCTGACGCTGGAGTTCCTCAGTTCCTACTGCTACATCACCCCTCATGGTTCGCAAAGCCAGCTTACCGGCAACGTATCATTCAGACTGCTTGGCCGGGAGTTCAACCTCACACAAAACAGGATTGCAGAGCTGTTAGGCTTCCACCACGGCACCGAAGCCCACCGTCGCGTGCCGGACAACTTCAGTGAACAAGCATTCACACTGTGGCGCGACCTCACCAACACCCAAGCGACCACTTTCCAGAGCCTCAACGCCACTCATATTCACAACCCGGCTATCCGCTACTTTCACCGGGTCCTCTGCAACACCATCTTTGCTCGGGAGAGCAACCACAAGCTCAACTCAAAGGAGCTCCTGTTTCTGTACTGTGCCCTGCATGATGAGCCAATCAATGCTGCCCCCTTTATGCTCTACCACATCCAGGCCATCGCGCACCGCGGCTCATCCCCGTTTTTCATTGGAGGCATTGTCACCACCCTCGCCATTCAGCTGGGGCTTGGTGACGCGCTCGCTGATCTGCCGCACCTCGCCCCCGATTTCCTGACCATGAGCTACTGCCGGTCCGCCCACCTGATCGCACAGCGGGAGGATGGCAGGTACAGCCCTGTCGTCAATGGCACCGTCTTCCACCACATCACTCTGCCGTCACGCACACGCATCGACCCAGCAAACCGAGCCAACTGGCTCTTTGCCTTACCAGCAGCCGCGGATCACGTGCCGGTACATGATGATCAGCCAAACGCCGCAGTAGACGAGATGCAGGACGCCATGGATGCGGCTGAGCATGCCCAGGACATCCCCGAGACCTCCACCCGACAGCAGGCAGCCCCCGCTGCCACACTAGAGGACGTCCTATTTGCGATCCACCAGCAGAACCTGATGAACGCAGAACTGGAGCGTCAGCAGAAGGCCCAGTACGACGCTCTGCTCGGCACTATTGCTGCCAACCATGCGGCCACTAACGAGCGGATTAGCGTACTCTTTGGCGAAGTCCGCGGCGATCTTGAGGCACTCCGCCTCAGCATTACTGCTACCTCCGGTACCGGCTCTGACCCCGACGCGACTCCCTCCAGACGCCGCGCTCGCACCAGAGGCCGAGCCCGCGATCACCAGCAGCAGTAGTTTGCTTTTATGTTGTTTTCAGTTTTAGTCTTGTAACTGTATCTATACCGCTATTATATCAGAACATTGAGGACAATGTCTGATATAGTGTGGGAGAGGTATTTTCCATTTCATTTCATTTCAATGTACTTTCAATTCTGTTGTATTCCTTTTAGAAAATCAATGAAATGAGCAATTCTGTGCGTTATTTTGAATATCGAATTTTCCCTGATTATTAAGCCATACTAGAAAAATCCTTAAATTACTCGCATTACCCGACTGACCACCGAACGGTTCGTAATTACGAAGCCGGGAACGATTAAACAGGACCAATACAATCTTGACATCTTCGACCCCCTGCTTAAGAAATTCCATCCGATCACCATTGCGAATGCACCTTTAGTTTCAGTTCAAAAAGTAACCCCAGTAGTTTATACTAGCAGTCAGCACCGTCTGAACACAAACCACGTGGGGAGCCGATGAATATAAGCGTTTGATGCCTAATCAATAATGATCCTTCGTATCTCAATGCAAAATGAAAAGAGATTGCACCAAAGTACACGGTCGCAGACAATAAACGAGAAATATGAGAAGGACTCCGTTTCGGGTTGGTTCAGAGGTACTGGTTCTGAACTCGGTAGGGCGTGCCACGGCTCGATCCCCCACAACCTCCGCATCGGATAAAACATGAAGGGTTACCACACTCGTGTACCAGACCCCGTGCAAAAAAAAAAAGGATCAAAATCGCTAACCGGCTACTCCACTACGTGCGTGCGAAGGCAAAGGGCTTAATGTGACTGCGCCAGAATGAACCGGGTGAAATACGATCGAAAAACTCTAGGTGAAATCGCAATGTGATTGTCGATTGTTTCGCTTGACGGGAAGTAGACGACATAGCCTGTTGCTTATGTCATCAGTGTATCGGTAGTGTTCTATCAAAGTACCGGACTATCCGACAGAACGACCCACCGGACGGTTTGCTATGAGTATGCGCGAGTAAAATCTTGTCCGCCGATTTTCAACCGACTATTTGCTTGAGGACAAGCAAAGGTTTAAGTTTGGGGAAGTTTGATGACGAGAAAACGCATCGGTTATATCGCTAGATTTCATTGACTTTTACCGCGCATTCACCGTTTTAACGCTCGATTCCTCGAGTTTTTCTTACTATTTTGCAGGTACATCGATATGTGAGGCCAAATCAAGAATTAAGAAGAAAAGAACAAAGAAACCACAAGAAATGAAGCAAGACAGAAGCCTGCATAAAACTCTGCATAATTTGTTACGACCACGGTCGTTACAAGGGAGTCACGACCGTGACACCTTGCTTTGGGACCTCACGACCGTGAGGAATGGGTGACGACCGTGACACTTGGAAACATAAGGCAACGAGCGTGAAGACCTTGTCACGCCCGTGACAAGGATATAACGTGATTCTTTTGACCCAGACTACGTCAAAGTCACCAGTGAAGCCACTCCTCCTAGTAATTCTCACGTGAGGGAAGTTTCTCCCACTTTCTGCTGCCACTTTCCAACATTTTCTCAACCACTTCAGCAAAGCCCAAGAAGCAAGAGATCCAGGACCAGCCCAGGGGAACTCTATAAATAGGACCAGCTCAGAAGAATTTAGGGGGAGACTTCAGTATCCAAATTTCCTGCGGAAGCTCTGCCGAATTACCTTACCATCATTTTATTATTCCAGCATTTTATTTTCTGCCTTATTTTATTCGTATCCAAACCAACCGTGTAACAATTTCCAACATTAGGGAATTGTTATACCTTTATTTGTTTCCAGCCTTCAGCATTTCGTTTTAAATTTTATTTCCGCCTACTCCAAGCTTTCCGGTCTGTGGAAGAAGGAGTCTACCCAGATATTGTTAATCAGGTTTTTTCAGTTATTACAATTTAATCTATTTAATTTATTTATAATGTCCAATTATTTCTCTGCCATTAGTAAGTTAATAAATAACTCTGAGTCTGATTTAACCTCGATGAGTAGCTAAATACCTTAGGGCGGTATGTAGTTATAACTGACTTAACCGGTAAGATATAACCACGGGCTAAAATAATTAATCGCTTAACATTCTGGCTGATACTTTTTAATTAAATTTGACCTTTTCGTTACGAGAGTAAGAAAAGGGTATTAGGTTGGGTCAAGACCACGAGAGTGTGAGATTTTAACCAGATAGCTAAAGTTAGGCATTTAAATTAAATACAGCGAGAGCGCTTTAAGATAAATTAGAATTATTTAGTTTCCAAAAATTATTTCTAAACACTTATGGGCTAGCGAGAGCAGGCATAGGGCTTTAGGGATAAGATCTGATTCAAGACCACGAGAGTGTGAGTTGAGGGTATTCAAACTAGTAATCTCTACCGAGTAGATTAAGTGAACATCTTTATAAGCCTAGGTTAGATTGACCCACCTAAGTTAGTATAATTACATACCGACCGTTTTAGTATTATTTTATTGAAAACTTAATTTTTATTCCGCCTTCAATAGTCTTAGGAAACCAACAAAAATCGTGACAACTATTCGCCTTAGCTAAACTAGAAGTTCATCTAGCACTACGTAACGATAGAATCCCTGTGGATCGATAATCTTAAATATTACTTCGATAGGCTGTGCACTTGCAGTAAGATACCGCTAGACGCATAAGTAGACACGTCCTTAGCCCATCAAGGGACACGTCATAACGTAACTGCCCACTTCTTGTAAATTCGGTCATCCCCCTTCCGGATAGTGCAAAACAATTATCATAGGGCGAAGACCACGTTCTGGTCTTCACAACGCCACGTCAGCCCTATCAGTTACTAACATTGGGTCTGGCAGTCCAGCCCAGTGTTAGGTAACCGTTGGCCCTGCACTAGGGGCTCACTATAAATATCCTCTTCACCAGAGGGTCATGTAACTTAACTCTCTTACTCTCTCTCTCTCTCTCTCTCTCTCTCTCTCTCTCTCTCTCTCTGTACTTGCTTCCACTCTAATCGTCACTTACTTTGACATCGGAGTGTGTTTTAGGTACACCCCTTCCTCTTTTACACTTTGGGTGAACAACTTTCAGATCGACGACGCGTGGCAGATCATCGATCCCCTTCTAGTCAGGTACGATCAAGATAATTATTCAATTTTTTTATTCTTGTCACTGGGAGATGAAAAAAAAGTGTATGATAAAGATATTAAGGACATCTCTATAATATAATGATTGTCCTCTTTTATTTACGAAAAAAAATATTATTTTAGATATTTTATTATTTTACTATATATTTGTAATATAATAAATTTGAAAATTACTTAAATTTGAAAATATTTAAAATAAAATTTTATAAAATTTATTTTTAAATTATATTATTTTGAAAAAAAATAATTTCGACTATACTTAATTTTCAATAATTTATATTTATATTATATAATTTCAAAATTATTCTTTTAATTTATAAAAAGTGAATTTGATTTTTTTAATATTTAAAAAATACTTTTTATAAAAATACTTTTTAAAAACAAAAGAAAAATCTATTTTCTTAAGATAAAACAAACTAGCTAGCTCGTATTTTTTTAAAGATAGATAGACGCTAGATTTTTGTCAAGAAAGTGTAAATAATCCAAAATGTAGAGGAAAACGATAAGCCGGTAATTCAGTTTTGTCACCAAAATTAACCTTCCCGCAAATAACGCCTTCAAAAAAATCAAAACCAAAACTCGCATTCTCTCACATTCATCAAAATCCATTCACATTAACCAGAGAATCTAGCTAGGTATCTATATATCTTCACGAATTACTCGGAAAATAAAATCTCATAATAAAGTTCGAGACCATAACTGTAGAATCAATTCCTCCAATTCAATGAGGACACTGTGTCCAAATTTCGATAAGGAAGATGGATTAGAAACGGTTTTGGAAGTTCCGATTCCGGAGGATATGTGGACTGGAATCGGAAGCAGTGGTTCAAATCGGTGGCGGAATCTTTGCGCTCTCATGAAAGCGCAAATTTCTAACGATAAATCTTCGCATCTTTCTGCTTCTTCTAATAATGAATTCATCGCGTTGCTTAAACTTGTTGGTTCTCCTCTTATTCCTCTTCAGGTTCAATGCGATCATACGTTAACTCGTCCTCTCAATGATTCTAGCATCGTATGCATCGTAAGCATTGTTTCCTCTTTCCGTTTATCAAATTTGCAATGTTATTATCAATTTCATGTGCATGTTTATTAATTCATTGATTAAGTCGTTGTTAATGTTATGTGATAGATGAATTAATTTAGAAATAAGATATTGTGGTTTTGATTGAATGGTTGTTTTCTGCACGAGTAAGTGAATCTCGTTTTCCAACTCAGCATGTATGATATTGAGCGTTTGTTTGGTTCTACAATGCCGAACTTTGAGTTAATTGATTATCTAAAATTGATTATGGTTAAAATTAAGTTGGAGTTAAACTGATTGATGCTTGAATATATTTATGCAAAAGTGAGTTGAATCACAAATTTTTTAGTGTAAAAATCACTTATAGATTTTTTGTTTAATATTCTTTTTTATCTTGTATGATAACCAAAAGATCCATTTTGGTCCCTCAAATTAAAAAAGTTTCATATTAATCTCTTAAATTTTCAAATTGTATTATTTAGTCCTTTTTATTATATTAGTGATGAATTTAGCTACCGGTTTTTGACTTTTTATGTTGTTAATTGAACGAAAAGAACCTTTTAAAGAATTAAGAGACCAATATGAACTATTTTTAAGTTAAGGGAATTAAATGAACCTAGTGGATAACATACCGGACCAAAAAGGATATTAAACCTAAATTCTTCATGGAAAATCAATTTCTGAGGCATAATCAATTTTACTTTTGAAGAACCAACACTTCAAAATCAATTTTAGTGGTCACCGCAACGGTATTGCAACTATAATTGCAGCTGCATTTATCGAGAATTATCACAATATAAAGTTTGAAACATAATTGCAACCGGACCCTGACTGCAATTTAAAACTATGTATAAGGCTTGTAGAACCATTGCATGAAAATTAGATGACGCTTCATGTTTGAGTTCTTTTTAAATCAGATTCTGTTGGAGCTGGAGCTTTGATCCTTTGCAGCTGGTCTGGTCTAGTCTAATGCCAACAGCTTGATTTAATTCAATGATTGGGAGATTAGTTGAGAGATTAATACTCCCAGCCATTAATTTCATTTGTTGATATTGGATTGAACAAATATACCAACAGCTAGATATAGGAACGCAGAGAGTTTGAGCTCAATTTTCCGAGGTTAAAACTTGAATGATGTATGATGTTGTAATCCCATTATTGTTACTAACAACAGCTCTAAAATCGTTCATGTTATTGTAATGTCTCCGTGTTCATATCACAATTGATTATAATATTAAAATAAAATGATTAATGAGTTGTTTCATCAAGTTATGTTATTAGTGATATAGTATAATTGGGATTTTTTTAAAGATTGTTTCAGGCTGTTACAATTGAATAAAAGTTGTTTGAATGAAATAATGTGCAGGAAGCTTCAAGTGCAAAGTATATAGTGCAGCAATACATAGCTGCCACAGGAGGAATGGGAGCATTGGATTCACTGAAGAGTATGTATGCAGTTGGGCAAGTGAGGATGTTTGGGTCCGAGATGCGTGCGGGAGATCATAGCATTAAACCAATTGGTAGAGCTGAAGTGGGAGGTTTTGTGTTATGGCAAAAGAATCCAAATTTGTGGCACTTTGAATTGGTTGTCTCTGGTTTCAAAGTCAGTGCAGGGAGTGATGGGAAGATAGCATGGTCACAGTCTTCTTCTAAACCTTGTCATGCTAATAAAGGACCTCCAAGACCTCTTCGCCGCATCTTTCAGGTACTAATAGACTGACAACATTAGAAAATTTACTATTGCTCAATCTTTATACAACCAAATGTTTACACCAGTTTTAATTTATTCCAATTAGAGTACTTAATAATGACATTGTTAGGTTATAAGAGTTTATTAGTTGGTCAGTTGTCAGATATTAAATTATAAATATAAGTAAAAATAATTAGATAAGTACAAAAGTTGACAGTTACCAAGTTGAGAATCGGTGACTTAGGATTTAGTATTAGTACTAGCCACAAATCACAATAATAACTTTAGAAGTATCTGTAAAAAAAAGACTTGTAAAAAATAGGTAGGGATGAATAGTACTAAAAGTGGTTTTACAAAATCTATGAATGCAATACTCCATTATGTTTGGTTTTCCAAAATAGAATTTGTCATCTTTGAGTGGAAAAACCATGTACCTGATTGTGTTTTTGATACAAGGTTTTTACTTGCTCAACAATTCTGTCAGGAATTTGTTTTTGAACATTTAGGACCAAACCGAGCATTGAGTAGCAATTATGTTCCATAGGATAAGGGTCACTTAAGTTCGGGTATAAGAAAATTCTACCCTTATAACAAATATGTCAAGTATTGGTAGCATACATTTATTTGTATTAATTCTTTTTGTCTCCAACTATTACTTAAAAACATCTTGTTAGAATTCAATTATTATTGTTCTTATTTCAAAATAAAAGTTCAATTTTAACTTAAGCTAAAGGTAAATATGTGCATTTTAGATAATTTGGTTTATGGCCTTCTGTGTTTTTCAGACCTTGTTAACCATTAATTGAATTTGAATCAACTGGTGTGCAGCCAAAAGTTTGAATTTATCATTGAAGTTATAAAGGGGTTCGTTTAATCAAGATTGTGTTGTTAATTTTGTGTATATTGTTATTATCAGGGGCTGGATCCAAGATGTATAGCCAACTTGTTTCTAGATGCTGTATGTGTGGGAGAGAAAACCATTAACAAAGAAGATTGTTTTCTACTCAAGTTAGAGATGGCACATGATGTCCTCCAAGCACAAAACACATCACACACAGAAATTATCAAACACACGGTGTGGGGTTACTTTAGCCAACGCACGGGGTTACTTGTCAAATTTGAAGATTCCAAGTTGGTTAGAATGAAGCCGTCCAAAGAAACTGATTCTGTTTTTTGGGAAACAAACATTGAGTCGATGATTGAGGATTATAGATACATAGATGGTATTAAAATAGCACATGGTGGCAAGACAGTGTCTATTTTATATAGATATGGTGTAGCACATAACCATAAGCGAAGAATTGAAGAGACGTGGAGGATTGAAGAAGTTGATTTTAACATTTGTGGCTTGTCAATGGATTGTTTTTTGCCGCCCTCTGATATCAAGAAGGATCAAGATGTTGTAGAACAAATTGTGTAGTAGGAAAGAGTTGGGACTTTCTTTTCCTTTTCTAACTGTTTTGTCAACCATAACAAAAATATTGTACATATTGTATAGAAGCAAACCATAGTTTGAATACGGAATATTTCTCAAAATCTTTGGTTTAGGGCAAAAAATTAGTCAGCGTTTAGATTTTTACAAGGCATTTCAGGATTTTGTCCTCAAACTGAAGAATGTTAAACTTCATATACTGAAAAGAATGATTAACTTCCCAAACAGGGCAAAGATGATCAATACTATTGCAATTGTTTTTAATGAGCTGAATGTAGAATTCCAACCAATTATTGGTCAAGCGATAGCATGCTAAAAGTACATGTAGATGAGTCTCAACATCTTCATTACATAAATCCTTGTGTTGATAATGCTCTTTAATTTAGTAGTTTTAGGTAAACTCAGATATTTATATTTAGCAGTCATCTTTATTATATTACAACGTTTTGCGTTGAAATTATATTGGCTGATGTTGAATTTGTGCAGGAGGTAATATATTGGGTAAGTCAAGAGAAAATGCAGCAACATATTGCGAATATTTGGGAGCATTGCAGTGTACAGCAGAAGCGTAGAACTGAAACCTTGAACAATTTTTTTATTGACAATATAAGAAAGAAGAAGTAAAAGTGTGTTGTTTGTAACTCAATCTGAGTTTGAAATTATGCACAACAAGAGAGAATTATTTTGCTCATAAGTGAAATTATTTTTCATTGAATTAAGAAGATGATTATGTACAAAGCTAACCACCTCTAAGTTAAACAAACTCACTACTAACTAACTTTTAATAAGCAGATAGTTATAAACTTTGAGTTCAAGTTACAATTCAACAAGAGTTAGTTATAAACTTTGGGATCAAAGTTACAACCCAACACACATTTAGTTATAAACTTTCAGACCAAAGTTACAATTTAACATAAAACTAGTTATAAACTTTCAAAACATAACTACTACACAACACACCACCTAATTCCTGTTTGAAAGTCTCTATTCCAATAAGCTTTTTAAAGTCATCAAGTCTTGCTTTCTTCATGGTTTTATCAACATATCAGTGAGTTGCATTTTAGTTCTACAAAATTCAAGCTTCAATTTATCATAGTTTACTTGATATCCTCTTAACGTGTTTGCTTCTTCCATGACTAATTGGATGTTTTGTTAGATCAATGGTTGATATGTAGTCAAGCAGAAGCTTCATTTTCTCTCCTTCGCGAGTCTTCAATTCTTCAAGCAATATCTCAATTTATTGTGCTTGACATGTTTCAAATGAAGTTGCCATATATTGTGCTTCACATGATAACAATTCAATTATTAGTTGTTTCTCTGAAGTACATGAAATTAGTGTTCCACCAATGGTGACATATAGCATGCAGTACACTTCCTGTCATCTTGATCGCCTTCTTAGTCAAAATCTCAGTAGCCATATGTCATAAATCTCCTTTGTTATTCTTTTGGTTTGTCATCAAAATTCCTTGATCAATTGTGTTTCTAACATAGAGTGTTTTCTTTGTAGCTAGAAGATGATATAGTCTTGGTTGTTCCATAATTTGTTTATCAATCCTATAACTTGACACAGTTCCGGCCTAGTATTACATAGGTGCCTTAGAGAATAAATTATTTGTTTGTACTGTGTAACAACCACTGCTTCTTCATCTACATATTTGCTCAGTTTGGCTCCAAATTCCATTGTAGTTACTACAGTTGCTCATATAAAACTTTTTCAACACATCTGCAACATACTTATTTTGGTGTGGGAATATACCTTTGCATGTTATCACAAATTCCACCCCAAAGAAATATGATAGGGTCCAATATCAAATATCTTAAACTCTAATTGTATCTATCTTGAAGGTTTCTAACTCCTCTTCATTTTCATCAGTGATTGGCTAGTCATCAACGTATAGGCACGCTATCAACAATTTCTTCTTACTTACTTTTCTTACATATTTTGATGCACACTTAGTGAAGCCTAACTTGATAAGAAATGTGTCAATTCTGTTGTTCCAAGTTTTATGGGCCTACTTCAAGCCATATATAACCTTTGTTAATCTAAACATTTTTTCTTCTTGGACTTTTGACTAAGTCACCATCTTAAAGTGATTGCTTGTTTAGGAAACATATTATAACATCATGACATATTGAGTTTTAGCCCTGCTTCATATTTTAAAATTTTGTTCAGGTTCCTTAGTGTTCAACTATTCATTTTATAATACTTTTTTTTTACTGTGTTCAATTATATCTTGAATGATAAAATACCATTTGCTCATCATATATCATATTATTACATCAAACAGAAAACAATCATCATACAAATTTATTATGCATTAAATTCATTATATTGAAAAAAAAAGAATTACAACGTGTTCAAACATCTTTTTGATATCTTGTCTCTAAACACCTATAATTTTAAATAATAAAACTTATTAGTATATAACTGTCGCACTTCAAAAATTCATTCGAACAATACGACCCAAATGCAATTCGACAGATTCGCCACTGAACTTTATTTATCCCGAAGAGACGAGAAAGAAAAATATCGAGAAAACCTTTTAAAACGAAAGGACAGGAACACGACCGTCGCAACCAATGTTCTAGGTTCGGGAGTCGATTACGCAAAGAGAAGGTATTAGCACCCCCCACGTCCGTTGTACTCAACGGAAACCTCTTAATTCGAATTGTAATGAACGTTAGCTAAGCTTATTTGCTTTCTTCTCAGTAATAAATGCGAACTGGTAGAATAAAAGGATAACGATGCTAAGGGGAATGGATGGTTAGGATAGGGTGCTCGCCAAAGATTGGGACCCTTGTGGCTATGTATGCTCATGCGGACGAGAATGAGAAATAAGAGCTTCGTAGTTCGACTACGGGAAAGGATGGGGGAAACAGAAGATGTAAGAAAGGTAGCTTTCCAAGATCATCATAATCTTATGCCTACGTATCTTGCATTCAAAGAAATAAATGAAGAATCAGAGCGTTCGTAGTTCGTGGAGACGACCACAAAAAGAGGGGTTGAATGGTTGAAGTTTTGTACGGATGACGATTACTCGAAGCTTAAGAAAGGCTCCTCGGGCCCAAGTAATCGGGAGAGTGAGTCAAAGACTTGACTCTGTCTCTTTTTCATCTTGAAGGTTGTATTTGAATGGTGTTTTGAATGATGACTGGTTGGAAGATGGTTTGAAGGTTGTCGAGTGGAAATGTTTTAAAGGCGTCAATTGCTCACACACGAGTAAGATAACCCACATCCAAACAGCTGAAGGGAGATCAAAGACTCAATCCCCCTTCTTTTCACCTTGAAAAGAATTAAATAGTTGTTAATTGATTCATAGTTTATTGAGAAAATCCACTTGACGTTGGATCAAGGGTTTGACTTATATTTGTGTGTAAAACCATGGTGGAATAGAAGTTAGTTTGAAAATGGCTCGACGACGAATCGAGGGTTTGATTGAAAATGGAACCGGCTTGACGAAGAATCAAGGGCCAGGTTGTGAGGAACGATACTAGTCCTTGAGGGAGATCCTAATAACGAAACCACGATGAAATGTGAGAGTGTGTGCAATAGGTTGACGGCGAATGCGGACGAGCACTTAACTTATGAAGGGTGTTTGAAAGTGGCTCGATGATGAATCGATGATTAGTTTGAAAATGGTTTAGTCTACGCTAGTCCCTAAGAGTGCTCTTAGAAGATAAACCACAAATCAAAGAAATACAAAAGTACACATCGGAATGGGAGAGGGATACATGTAAGTTACACGGGATTGCACGAAATAAAAGTTCTCGTTGTAAGGTAGTCCAAGAGAAAGTCGCGTGTATGTGAAGTGTCCTAAACTAAGTCTTGAACTAAAGTCGGACAAAATCTCCTTGCTAGGGTTTCTGATGAAGTCCAATAATCCGTTGCTCGGAAAAGTAACCAACAGTCCACCAATTTAAGGAGGTATCGCCTCACTCCAAGTACCACCCTCTATCTCAAATGTGAGAAACATGGTAAAATACGTTTCTTGGGTTGAGAGAAGTCAAGGTCAATAGCTAGTCTACGTCTCCGTAGGAAATAGGGACTCAACGGTCCACCACTAATTGGGTGGGCGGTGACCCTCCCAGTGAAAACCCTAGGCCCAAAGCCTCTATGAATACTTCTCCCTTAATGAGAGAAAATGTCAAATTATAACTTACACATAATACCTAAAGCACTACATGGTGGGGAAAGCTTTTCCAATGTTATGGTGCTTGGGAGAGCATGAAACTGCCTTAGTACTCTTTGAAGTACGCATGGGAGCCTGCATCAGTCACATTGGCAAAACAAACCTTCGCTCACAAAATATCTTGGGCGAGATATTATTGGCCTACTTTGATGAAAGATAACATCAATTTTGGTAAGTGCGATCAGTGTCAGAGACATGCTGAGTTTTATCGTGCCCTAATTGAGCTTCTGTAGTTAATGACAACACCATAACCTTTCTACTAGTGGTGGATGAACATCTTAGGTTTTTTTTTCTATGGCATTAAGTCAACTTAAATCTTGATAGTAAGAGCGAGTTACTTTACAAAGTGGATAAAGGCGGAAGTTGTCGTTAAAATCACGACAGAAAGAGTTCGTCGCTTCTACTAGCATAAAATTATGTGAAAGTTTGAGCTTCTTAGAGCAATTGCCTCCGCCAATGGGACCAGTTCGCTAGCGCTATGGTCACTAATTTTTGCCGAGATTTAGGAGTACAAACAAAGTTTGTATCCGTAGTGCACATTAAGCCAATGGGCAGGTTGAATCTTTGAAAAAGGTAATCATGGAATGACTTAAGAAGAATCTCGATGATGCCAAAGACTTGTGGGTAGATTTGCTCAATGAGATATTGTGGTCCTGTCACACCACCTCACATTCCACCACAAAGGAGACTCCATTTGCCATGATGTATGGATAAGACACCATGCTACCAATAGAGATTGACACGCCCTTGTGGCGACGCTCCTAATTCAACCGAGTGTTAAACATGGAAGAATTAGAA